GCTGTGAGTTCCAGGCCAGCAAGGGTTACATTGTAAGACCCTGTCTCAAAACAAAAATCAACAAAAAAAAAAGATTCAGACATTGACTTATTCCATTTAGAGTTGAGCAGACTTTGAGAGCCCTTTTCTCCAGCTCTGATTTAAGTTTGCTTCCAAACTTTGTGTTAAGGTCTATTCTTCATCCTCCTCTATAGGAAGCTCACATGCTCAGTTTCAGGCTTCATTTCAGATACATCTACCTAACTTCTTTTGACAATCCATTCTCAGCTGCTTTTGGGGGGGGGATATGTATATCCTCCCACCCCTCTCTGTTGCAACTTTTCTCATCAGTGACAAAATACCCAAGAACACTTATGAAAGGAAAGGGTCATGTGGGCTCATGGTTTCAGAGGTCTTTCAGTTCATGACAGAGAAGGCATGGCAGAGTGGAAATGGCTCAATCCATGGTGGCAGGAATGTGGGGTGGAGGCCTGTTCACATAGCAGTAGACAGGAAGCAGGCCTAACCAGGAGTGGATATAACCTTCAAAAGGCCTACTCCTAGTGAGCTACTCCACCAGCCAGGACCCATCTCCTAAAGGCTCTACAGCCTTTGAAATAACATGGCAATCAAGGGACCTACTATTCAAAATGAACCTGGGAGTCAGTCCAGATTCAAATTACAACAACTTTGATAAAACTGCTGCCTTGCCTGGCTAAGAGGGGGCCAAAAGGAAGCCTTAATGGGCAAAATACTATGCTTTGGCATCTTAAATATGATTGATCTTTCTTGCCTGTTTTTTACTTTTTTTTTTTTTTTAGAGACAGACTCATATAGCCCAGAATATATAGCTGAGGATGACTTTGGATTCCTGATCCTCCTGGCTCTATCTCCCAATTACAGGGATTACAGGTGTTTGCCACTATGCCTGGCTTCAAATGTGGTTTGCTTTCTTCTGGTCCACACTCTCCCATCAGTATTCTGATACTTTCAGAAGACTTCATCCAATTGTGCAATAATAAATCTGTTAAATACATTCAAGGTTCAGAAAATCTTTTTCCCCCTAGTAAAAACCACCCATTTGGGAGAGAGAGGTCAGGGAATATACATATCTCAATACCTCATGTCCTTTTTCTGGTTCCTCCAAGTAATTATTCATATTTTTTCTCCCTCTAAAAGATCTATTTTTGGCAGAACAAAGAATATAGAGGTATTTGCCTTACTCTTCCAAATGTTCCTTCATTACATCAGACATTATTACACTGTCTGATACCACTCCTTGCATTTCTAATCAAATATTTATTTTAATATTGATATATGGGGCTGGAGAGATGGCTCAGTAGTTAAAAGCACTGACTATTCTTGCAGAAGAACCCAGGTTCAGTTCTCAGAACCAATATGGAGGCTAACAAGCATCTGTGACTCCAGTTCCAAGGGATCTGACACTGTCTTCTGGCCTCTGTGGGCACTGTACACATGTGGTGCACTTACACACATGCAGGCAAAACATTCATATACATAAATCAAAAAATTTTTAAGATTTATAAAAAAAATACTGATATGCTAAAGTACATAGCATTGCCAGTTAAGTAGAAATTAAATGGACTGCTCTTGCAACTCTACTTTTCCCAGGCACACCATGGGAATTTTATCTGGTCTGGTTAAATGTTCTGCAGTTCTCAAGTGCATTGGCTAAAGCCTCAGTAGAACCTCTGCCTGAAGCTAACAGTACACACTGCTCCAAGCTGTCTTCAGCACAGATTGTACTATGAACACTCTGTGCCCAAATATTACCACCCCCAGTGTCCTGGCATGGTCACAGTGCAAATGCACTCTGTGCAGATAACTGTTACTGTTTTCGCCTAATCACTTAACCTAGGAGAGTAGACTAAATGTGAAGACTCTGTCTTCCAGGGTTCATGAGCCTCTCAGATTCACTGAGGACTTCCCATGTCCCAGGACTCCTGTCTAAGTGTGGCAGCTAAAGCAGAGTTAGCATCCCCCACATGTACATGCTTGAATTAAGACATGCTGAACATCCTGGTGAGGTCTGCCCCTAGTTCTCTCCACAGTGACCCAGACTCCTGAACATTCTAGATGCATGGTTATAACCTTTCTTTTGGTTTTTGTGGGGGGGAGGGTTTGTTTGTTCTGTGGAACCCAAATTCTGGTCTTCACACTTGCAGGGTAAGCACTGTATTCACTGAGCCTCAGAGTATTTTGTAGAATCATACTGCAGTTCTCAAACCCTTAAAGACTACCCTCGATGGTTTTTTGGTTTGTGTGTTTTATATTGTTTTGTTGCTCTTTTTTTTAATATTTTTTATTTATTTTATGTGTATGAGCGTATTGTCTGCATGTATATGAGTGCACCTGTGTCATGCAATGCTGCAGAGGTCAGAGAGGGCTTCAGATTCCCCTGGAACTGGAGTTGAGGACGGTTTGTAGCCACCATGTGGATGCTGGGAATTGAACCCAGGTCCTCTGCAAGAGTAGTCAGTGCTCTTAACTGCTAAGCCATCTCTCCAGCCCCTTGTTGTTCTTGTTGTTCTACAGTCTCCCTGTAGCCGCAGCTGGCCTGAAACTCCAGGCTTTGATCTCACAGAGATCTACCTGCCTCTGCCTCCCAAGGGCTGGAATTAAAGGTGTGTACCACCATGCCTGGCCAGTTTCGTTTTTGTTTTGTTTTTTCAGTATTTTATTTAACCTAAATATGTCTAAAATACTATTCACATGTAACCAATATAAAATTATTATTCATCTAATATATTTTTTCCATACTAAGCTTTTAAAATCTTCTATGTATTTAATATTAATATTTAATAGTACATCTCAACTCAGACTGGCCACATTTCGAGTGGTGGCTGTGATATTGAGCATCATAGATTACAAAGTAGAGACTGCTTATCAGAGGGTGAATTCAAAGGCTTGAGACAAACTGGGAAACCTCAGGAAGATCAATGAAATACCATGAAAGGTTTCTGATCCACACAAGCCCAAGGGCCCTAAGTTCTGTGGCCTCTGAAAGACTAGTCCTACATTCATACAGTTCAACTGATAGGGAAAATAATGAGTCAGCAAGATGGCTCAGTGAGTAAAGGTGCCTGCTGCCAAGTCTGACAACCTAAGTTCAATCCCCAGAACTCAGTTGCTGGAAGGAAAGAACTAATTACTTCAAGTTGTCCTCTGACCTCCACAAACACACCATGGCACACATACCCCCAACATATACATATACACACACAAAAAAAGAAAAAAAATGAGTTTGATGTATTAAATACCAAGACTACTTTTGAGCTCAGAACCCTTCACAAAATATTAGCTCCTAGTAAAGGGATATAATAAGTGCCTAACTCAGAGTTAAGCATAAGAACTAAATGACATAATTTGACTACAGTGCAAAGGAGCTGGGAAATGGTGGCTCTATAATCATTAACTACTACTAATTACTACTGTACCCACGTTCAACAAGCAATCTCTCTGGCACATTGTTTACTTCTGACAAACACTGAGGTCAAATGTGGTCTCTATGGAGAGAGGTTCTTCTCCCCAGAAAGAAGCTTAAGGGTGTTTTGTTTTATCATTGTTTTTATAGTGGATTTTTTTTTTTTAAACAACTCAAGGGTAAAAAACTAAAAGCATCCCCAAACATATCAACAATTTGATAAAAAGCAGCTTGTAGTTTTCACTTTAATATCTTTAGTTCTGATATTGTCTAAAACCCAGCTTGCTATAACTGTTCCATCTAAATTTGTTCTCAGGGAAAAATAAAGTTAAAGTCCTCTGTGATCTTGTCAGCTGAACTTCCAACCATTTTCAACTACTTAATGAGAGTTGCCACAACAGGGCCATTGCATACAGGAACTCACAGCAGCTGTAACTGTATGCACAAGTCTTACACAAAATCAAGTCAGCCAAAACACTAGTATAGATGGGGGAGGGGCTGCTGCAGTCCTACCCAGAGCTGAGATGTTATTGGCTGCTGGGGAAAAGGAGTCAGTTTTCTTCTGGGATGCAGCCCCTGAAAGCTACCCCTGCTCTGGCAGATGGTCCTATATCCATGCACACACAGGCAACACTAAGTGGACATGGAGAGAGAGAGAGCACATGAAATTGGGAGGAAAGGGTGCAGGGGTGGGGAGGAATTGAAAGGGAGGAAATTGGAAGTGATTTAATCAAAACACGTTATATGTATGTGTGAAATTCTCAATTTAAAAAAATTTTAAAAAGAAACTAAGTGAACAAAGTACTTTATTTTCAAATCCAAGCAGGTCAGAAAGACTCAGCTGCCGAAATGTAATGAAGATGGCTACTTCCTCACCACCTAATAGAAGAAAACCCCACCCTCCTCCCCTCATCTAGTCTCACTGCTCACAGTGAAGAGGAACTGGTAAAATGGACCTCCTGGAGGGAAACATTAGGTGACCTTGGTTGAACTAAGGCCTTCCCTTGGTGAAAAGATCACAGAGCAGATAAAGGTGGGAGAGCTAGACTCCCTCAAAACCTTCAGAATAAATAAGAGACCACTCTAGCCACTTTGATGAAAAAAATACTGCATGATTTGGGGGCAGGTGACAAAGTATATTACCAGCCTTCCTTCTGCATCCTACATTTGAGTCTGAATGTGGCTTTGTTCCCCTCCCATTAGTCAGACCTGACATGGTCCTGGAGATGGTGCTCAGGCATGTCCCAGCCATCATTACCAGAGAATACACCCATATAAACCCAAATTCCTAATTCCTGAACTGATCAGAGTCGCCCTACATGTGGCCACTCAAGAATAAAATAAGCTTTGTTTAAAAAATGCTGTATATTGGGGCTCAGCAGTTAAGAGCACTGACTGCTCTTGCAGAGGACCCGGGTTTGATTCCCAGCACCCACATGGTGGCTATAAACCATCCTTAACTCCAGTTCCAGGGGCATCCGAAGCTCTCTTCTGATCTCCACGGCACTACACAACACAGGTGCACTCACATACATGCAGGCAATACACTCATACACATAAAATAAAAATAATAAAATATTTTTTAAAAATGCTACGTTTTATTTCAAGAACTTCGCAGTTCATGAGCAATGGCGAGCAGGTACCGGAAGTTCGCTCCAGCTGACCTCTCGGGCAGCAGCGGTTGAGGCTCTGCAGTGCTGTCACTTGCTCCAATGCTCCCTGAGGTGCTCTTTCAGCTGTGGAATGGAAGGTAGTGGCTGCTGACACTCGTGACAACGAAGGGGCAGCTTCAAGAGCTCCGACATCCCATCTTGGACAATCACTCTGCCTGCCTCTTGAACCATCTTGATCACAGCTTCAAGCAAGGAAGAAAAGTTCAGATCCCATCTACTCTGGAAAGTCAGTGTAAGATACCTAAAAAACATTCTAAAGCTCACAGGCTTGAGATTAGGCAGTACAATGGGAAAATGTACTTCACCAGATTCTAAGTCTGAGCAGCTACCTTTGTGTTACCATGTCAAGGCTTATCACAATGTTTTTCCCCAGGTTGCTCGTTGGTAAATGGTAGCTATCCCCATTTACACCACAGCAGTTCTGAAGGTGCACTGAAAATATACTGGGAAACGCTTCCTCTAAATATATACCTCCTAAATACATGTTCACAAACCACTGCTAACAGTTGGGGGTCTCCCAAGCTCCTGCCAAGCTCATGACACAAGAGAAGAACTGTTGAGACTCTCCTCATCCAAGAACTCTGTTAAGGTTTGGACATGAAATGTCCCCCCAAAAGGCTCAAGTATTGACAATAGCTGTTGGTACTATTTTGGGAGACAGAAGACATTTTAGAAGGTGGGACCTAGCTGAAGGAAATAAGGCACTGGGGGCATGCCCCGGGGGCTGTCTTGTCCCAGGTCCCTCCCTGAGGCCCTCCCCTACCAACTTTGCTCCCTGTCACAATATTCTGACTCACTTAAGCCCAGAAACAGAGCCACAGAGCCAGTCAACCATGGACTAAGCTCTCTGAAACTATGAACCTAAATATAGCTTTTATCTCTTAGATTAATTTAAGTGCTTTGGCACAGTGACAAACAGCAGATCTTGACTAACACAAGTTCTAACTTTTGGATTTAGAATCTGCTCAAGCACATTTTCCCATTATGTAGTCTAACTTCAACCTTACTAGCTTTAGAACACCTGGAATATTGATTAGCCAATTAACTCCTCTAACACTTTTTGATCCCCACATAACAGCTTTCAAGGTCCCTCAAGAAGGATGTCCACAACAAAGTCACAATCATATTACTATGAAAATATCCCAGTTTCTTTTAATGGTGCTTTCTTTACAGGGATCACAAAATGATATGTGGATTATTTGAGGTCAGATTGTTATTTATAGAAACAACTGAGTCAAGTGTTAAAACAACTTTTAAAAATTGAAATAAATTTGACTACAGCTTTCAAGGTCCCTCAAGAAGGATGTCCACAACAAAGTCACAATCATATTACTATGAAAATATCCCAGTTTCTTTTAATGGTGCTTTCTTTACAGGGATCACAAAATGATATGTGGATTATTTGAGGTCAGATTGTTATTTATAGAAACAACTGAGTCAAGTGTTAAAACAACTTTTAAAAATTGAAATAAATTTGACTACTATCCTCAGGCCTCTTGGGGTAAGTCTACAGCGCAGCTCTCCGCGCTGGGACTCCCTAAGCCACATTCACCCTTCCATCCCCCCGCCTCGTCGTTCTATACTCCTAGTTTGAGCCCTGCGCCACTCCTAGTCTTGGGGCCGCAGACACCTGGGAAACCAATACTGCTTCCTGACCCTTCTCACCCAGAGCAACCCAGTCCCTTTCTTGGGCTCCAGGAGCACCACTTCTGGTCCTGGCCCTGCCCTCACCTCGCTCTGCTTCCCTGGGCCTGAACCACCGGCTAACTCTCCTAGCCTGCACTACTATCCTCAGGCCTCTTGGGGTAAGTCTATAGCGCAGCTCTCCATGCCGGGACTCCCTAAGCCTCATTCACCCTTCCACCCCACCCACCACTCCCCTGTCCC